AAACATTTCTTACTTAATAACTATAATTGGGACTATGAACAATCCCGTTCGATCTCTATTAGAGCTGGAACCACATCGACAGTACACAAAGAAATGCATTGATCAATCTCTACTTATGTATACTTTGTTTGTGATATTACTTCGTTAGCGGTGCATCGACGACTCGTCGATAACACGTCTGACAGTCTGACACAGTAATGCAGTTTAAACCCGACGTCAGTTTTGCTGCGTGTTTCTTACTTTTCGGCCCAGCTCATTCTAGAGGTCATCAAAAATTGCAGACCGGTTTTGGGGCCGCGAGGTCCCATAAGACTGCCACTCTTTATTAATCTCTCCTCGGTGATATTGCGAATGAAAAACGATTGTTACTAAAAGTAATTGAAACTATCTCGGATAAGGTGAAAATTTCTTATACTTGCTACTGATAAAGTTCGTCACTACCAAATCAACGTACGTTATATTACCAGTAGACAGTAACGTCTCGAATCACAGAGTTCTAAACTATCTAAAGCCATAATATAAGAACTCAACAGTAACAGAATTTTTGAAAAGTTACATAAAATAAACTATTGGAATTAAACGAATTGTTTCGAAAGAATTCTGTTTATAAATATTTTAAAAATATTTGTGCAAATTGTATGTTTAGCTAGCAATCAATATTTTTATACAATATTACACGGTGTTCAAATCATTTATAAAGTTTATAGTGAATTTATATTAAAAATATACTGCACTTGTTGTACAACACAAAAATGAAAGTGAGACTAATTATGAAAGAATGTGTGTTTATCTTTTGATCGTAGTAGAACGGAAAGACCCACTGTCGTAAATTTTATCGGTGTGTGTAATTAATAACCACGAGAAAAACACAAAAAGGAAGCAGTTAAGTATCAAACAACAGGAAGAACCCCAATGATTTGAATTGTTGACACGCTCAAGATACGATATAATATAATTCCATTTCCAACCACAATGTATCATAAAATTAAATCACTCCTGTAATAAATGTACAAGTGACACTCGTAATCCCTTGTACACAAGGTGTTATTAATCATAAAGCATGATACTCGAGAATGTATCATAATATTACTCAAAATCATGTATTTAAAATTCAATGATATAAAAGTTAATAATGATTCTATAATTCATAAAAGTTATTTTCTATCATAGAATTTTAGTATATAAAAGAATATAATAAGTTGTTGTTTAAATTGTATTAATTACTGCTGTGGAATTCCGAATTTTTATATTGATTCATTATGTTATCATTATCTAAATATTTTATTTTGTGGGCGTTTTCTGTCGTGCTGATACGAAGTGTGATTCACAGACTTAAATCATGGATAATAACTATATCAAATTGTCACACTGAACAAAGACGAACGTTTTACATGTGCTTTCGCACTCTGCTAAATTATAATATACAGTAATCTTAAATGTAATATACGTTGATTCGTCGATTCGAAGATATTTCATAGATGACACATAAAATTATGTAACCAAATCTGTATATTCTACATTAAACATTAATTAAATTTATTATCTATTTTTATATTTATATTACAGAATTCGTTTGATACGAATTTTCGAATTTTGTAGACATTTTTTTATTTAATTTGAAACATCGAGATAAGAAATTTTTATCATATCTCTTATCCGAAAGATTATTGTGCAGCTTGTTTACGACCTATCCACTATAACGCATTAGAAAGTATATTTCCGTTCTTGAGCTAATTTAAGACCGTATCTTAAAATTGAGGACAACCCACGAAATAAAAATTATCGAAAAAACCACAGAAATCGTTATCTACGTCAGGCATGTGTAGACTGTTGTACTGAGGGTGGGCATACTCGCTAGTTCCCGAGAAGGGTGATAGCTGATAATAAGCGATTACCGTGACACTGTATGTAGGCTTAATATGTATAGTAGCCTCATACCTATCTGTCATCTTACATTTTACTTTTGCCTATATTGCAAGTTCGAATGACAAGTGGTTCTAATAAGAAGCCTGGGGCCAATCGGTAGCTATGTACATCAACTTTGAATGAGTTCATTCAGTGCGAATGTACGCGCATCGTGTGTTACCACTTGAACGAACTTTGCGTTCGGTCGCAAGGTCTATCACCGGACGAAGTTCGAGTTACAAGACGGCTTTCGTAGCAAAGTTCGCGTGCCGACTCGATCATATGTACACAAACGTCTCATGAAACGCTGCCCACTCTTACTCTTGGGCGCTCCGAGGGACGCTACTCGCACTTGGGTGCTCCGCGGATCATCCATCCCGGACATGCCTCATCTACGTTACACACTTGCGAATATGCAGCTCGGATTCTTTCTCTGAATGCAGTGACGGTTGACACAGATGAGTATATGTGTACAGAATTTATCTGCAGATATTATTTTTTAAATTGTTTATTGACACCATTTTATAATATTTTGCCATTCTTTTACAAACTAAAGATAGCACGCGCGTGTTATCTTAGTTTCTAAGAGAATGGGAGTGTAGTTCTAGCAATAACTAAGTCATAAACCTATATTTACACAAAACACTTTGCGTTAGCCATGTAAAAAATTCTTTGTCATGTTAACTTCCTCGCCGGTCATACAAAAGCAAGAGTTTATCAGACAGTTTTTATCTATTGTATTTTTGTTCAGTACTGAAGTGTATCTACAACCATACAAAGAAGATTCACTTTCGTGATACATACTACAATTTTTTTTAAAAAGGACAGCGAGCAAGTAGAATTTGTTCCTTTGTACTATTCCAGGTTGAATTTCTAAAATTTGTATAAAAGATTAGGATAAAGTTCAGTATAGTGAAGAACTCAAAAAATATGTACACAATAATTCGACGACGTGCTGCAATTTGGTTGCGCATGGGGAAGGATTGACGATTTCATTTAACAAGTGAATTTGGGTCGTGTTCCAGTTCAGGAAAACCTGTCCCCCTGCGCATTGACAGACAGACAATGCATACTTGACCAACGAAGTCGTCGTCGATTAGCTGCTGGACCACAACGGGGCGAGAGGAGAAGGCTGATTACGCTTAACTCCCTCGGACGCACCGTACAGGAGGACCATGGGTATATTCGCGCGCGCGCGCGCGCGCCGCCGCGCGCCGTCGCCGCTACTTCTATCGACCAGATCCTCGTCTCTCCTCCTCTCGTTTCCGAGCTGCTGCGCCGGCCTTCCTTCTATGCATTTCGCTAAAATCCGATCCACGAGGACGCCTCGTCACCCGCCGTCTCTTTTTCGGGAAACCGAGACTGGCTGGTGAACCACGTGGCAGCGTGGAAACCATGAGGAAGAGACGGCCGATCGACACCCTCCGATGACAGCGTGCCCGCTTACGGGATCAAACCTTCCGAACAATTTCGAGTTCGTACAAAAATTCGCGAGTTCGACGTCGTCAGGTTCAATACGTTCGCGAATCACCGAAGGGTGTTCAACGAATGATCAACGAATCGACGTGACTCGACGTAACTCGACGCGGTGGTGGTGAAGGTTGTTCGCGGTTTTGAAATTCGAGCGCAACGTTTACGCGGATCAGTGGATACCCAGAACAGGGGAATCAGTTGCGAGGGACGATTCGCGCGTGAGGAGGATCAAACGGGAGCTAGCAACGGCGGAAGGAAGGGAGGCTGGATGGAAACACGTCAAATCTGACCCGTCATCGAGTCGAGAAAAAAAGAGGTAGAGAATGCGGCGAGGAACACGACTCGGACCACCGCCCTCTCATTAAAATGCGACGATACGTCAGCTTCGTTGCGTTAAAGTGCGCCGAATTAAAGTCTTCCTGACACGTTCGGACGGCGTCGAATCGAGGCGTTCATTTAAACTGTGTCAAATTGAAAGAGCGCGATTCGCGAATTCTCTGCTAATCGACTAAACGCGTCGACGTAGACTTCGTACACAGCACGTACTTGGACGCAAGGGACATCATACCTGCGTGCGTAGACACGTGCACAGACGTTCAGCCTCAGACGTCGATTTATAATGTAGGAACTACTCTAATTCATCTCGCAGTAATTATCTAATGTTTCGTGGATCGTTAAAATGACCGCGGGTCGTAGAGAATATTACGAGTCGAGAGTTTGTCAAGGAAACGTCGAGTATCGTACCCTTGCGAATGAAAGCCGATGTCGAAAAATGGATTCAGAGCTCTAAGTACGACGGCCTCGTCTTATCGAAAAACCCTGTTTAAAACCCCGGAGAAATAAGTCTTCCAGGTGCAACGATTCTCCTAAATGTATAACTCCCATTGCGGCCACTTCATCCAGTTTAGATGTATTAAATCTAGGATAGAAACTGATGACGAGAGTAAAGAAATTCAAGTGAAATAAGACGTATTCGGTAAGTTGAACACGTATTCTCTGTTTTTAATTAAATTAAAAGTATTGAATTTCTATAATAAAGATTTTAATTAGTTTGTCTTTATATTTATTTAATTATAAACTTGTTGAATCCTATTTTTCGATATTTTCTATTGCTATTTCATTTTCCTAATATAATAATTACTGTACATGTAAGCAGATCGATTTCCTTGTTTTTGTGCATAGAATAACAATTGTGATGATAACATTTATGTATTAAAACTGCACATACACATTATACACGTACACATATTTATAAGTACTCTGATATCAAGGTTCATCTTATTGTTTCCATTTGTACCTAAAAAGATATTCTGCCATTTCAAAGTATTCAGATTTGGTTTTAATGATAGTTGATACAAAAGAAGCTGCTATTAAATTCTTGGTTGCTCCAAGCTACATACATATGCGTTCTCTTCTTCATTCGTATTTAGTTTCCTTTTTCTATAATGCAACTTTTAGCTCTTTAATATAAAATACGTTTCAGCTAAGAGATAAGGGAATATATTGAAAATAAAAATACAATTGTAGATAAAATCAATAGATTAAGATGTCATATGTTATGTTAGGATTTATAATGAAGTACCGATAACAATCGTGATTTCGTCGGCGGACGATGGAGGCGCTGATATTTGCAGTCTTTAAATCATTCAGAACTGCTTAGGAAGGAAAGTACCTCTGGTATGACTGAAAACTTCCACGACGAGGTAAGCAGCCGATGCACGATCATAACTACAATGAGAGGCGTGCAGTGCAAAAAAAGTCTACAGCGGCTGAAACGATATTTTTTCTTCGTCACTACGTTCAGGGTACAAAACTCGGAAATAAGTATTAAAAAAGAATAATAATAAAAAGGACATGCAAGTGTTACTACAAATTAAATTCATTTAATATTATGTGTGTTATAAATTAAAAATTGCATATTTCATGCTTCTCTTATGTCTTCAGTTTAAATAACACTTTTCTATCCAGTGGAAAAACAAAATAGTTTTAGTGCCAACTGTAGGATAGATAAGAAGAAGCTCGTATTTTAAACGAATCTTTATTTCGTTTAGATAGTCTTCCGTGGCAGTAAAAAAGCGAAGGACAATGAACGCAGCACTGACGTCGAGTTGGATAACAAAATCTTCAAAGGCCGATTGCATCTACGAAGATGGTTAATAGCACTTCTAATTTTACTCTTTATAACGCTAATCATATTAAACACGTACAGCATGGACCAATTTCGAGCGATACGGTATGGAGCCATTATTAATGACAGTGCGCAAGGTACTATAAAATTTAGTACGAACTCATTTCTACTAGAAAAAATCAATAGCTTTCAAGCACGTTCGATAATACAATGATAGATTTCTCAGTACAATATTTTTTATTTATAATTTGTAAATTAATACATATGCGAAAATGTGAAATTTGCAATTATCGAATATATTATAATTTTATACTCGCTGGTAAAAAATTAAGGATGTGTAGGCTATATGCAAAATTTTAAATCAATTCATGCGTTTTTTGAAAAATTATAGTGAC